TTTTATCTTGTCTTGATTCGTCGAAATTCCATCTTTGGAAATACATAGACCCAAATAGTTGACTTTTTCCTTCATGAAGTGACACTTAGCTCTGTTTAAACAAAAACCATTGTCCTCAATGCGTTTCAAAACCTCTTTTAACGTGTTTAGATGTTCAGTGTCATTTATTCCTGTTATAATGACATCATCCAGTAGGAAAGCGACTCCATCTAATCCAGAAAGCATAGAATGCATCTTCTTTTGAAAAATTGCCGTAGCAGGAGCTACGCCAAAACACAGTCGATTGTATCGCATAAGACCAAAAATAGTATTAATGACAAGGAGTTTTTTAGATTCTGTGTCCATGGGAATAGAAAGGTATAAGCATCAGAGAGGTCAAGGGTAGTAAATTTCTGTCCAGAACCTATCTTGGTCAATAAATCGTCTTGAGTTGGTAATGGAAACTGCTGCACCTTTAATGCTTGGTTGAGTCCCGTTGAAAAATCTGCGCATATTCTAATAGCTCCATTCGGTTTTCTTACAATCACGCATGGCGCAGCCCATTCTGAATGGTCTATTTCTTCAAGGATACCATTTCTTTTTAACCGGTCAAGTTCTTCTTTAACCTTGTCCCTTAAAGCTAAAGGAACAGGCCTTGCCTTTTTAAACACTGGTGTAGCACCCTCTTTTAGGTACAAATGAGCAGTTGTCTTTGAACATTTATTTTCATTGGGTTGAAAGACGTGAGAAAACTCATCCACAAGTTTGGCAAGTTGTTGATCCGTATTTTCTACTTGTAAGGTTTGTTTATACGGTTCTGAACATATCCTTTGCAAATCGGAAAGTGATATTTTGTGGAGAAATAAAGGTGTAATCCAATCTCTTCCCAAAATATTTTGTTTGACACCCGAAGCGACAAAAGCTCTGAGTTTGGTATTAACGTTTGCAAAAACAACTTCTACATCCATCTCACCAAGAAGTTTAACACAATGACCTGTAAATGAAGTAAAATTCTGTTTACTTAACAAAAGGTCGGGTTTTCCTATCTGTTTCCAAGTATGATCTGAGATAATTGAAGCGCAGCTACCTGTATCAAACTGCATCCTTACGATCTGGTTATTGAGTAAGATATTAAGAATAAGAATCGGGTAAAAGGTTGCCTGCTTTCCAATTGAAAGAACGTCCTGTATTCCTCCCAAAGAGTTCGTATCATTATAGCTAGTTACATCATTATCAACAACGTTACTACCAGATTCCTTTGACTTTGGACCATTCTCAACAATGTTGCTTTTAAGGTGTCGTTTCTCCACCTGTCCCGTTTTACATATTCTAGTTATGTGATTCCTACTCCCGCATTTGTAACATCTTGGATTTTTAATGTTACAATTCCTTTTCAGATGTTTACCACCACATATAAAGCATGGCCCTAGAGATAAAACATTACAATCTTCCCTCTGAGAAAAACTATTTAATGAAGCATCTTTTACTGAGAAAAGAGAATTAGCTACGTTAATGACTTCTGAGAACGTTTCATAATCCTTCTCCATGAGTTTGGATCTTATATTGTTATCACATATCCCCATTACAAAAGCGGTAACAAGTGCTTGTTGGAAAAATTGAATGGGAAATTGACAATCATTTACTTTATTCCTCAAAACATTGGCAAACTCCGTCAGACTCTCGCAGCCCTGACGCAGTGAAAAAAACTTGACTCTTTCTGCAATGGCGATTTTTTTAGTTTTAAAATTGTCCAACAATAGTTTAAAAAGTTCTTCATACTTAAAGTCATTTAAATCATTAGGTCTACAAAGGTTAACCAGTGTGCTTAACACATTTGTACCCAAAGCGTTTATGAATAGCAAGTGTTTGGTTTCATCATCGTTAATTCCATTGAGTTTAAGACCTGTAGTAAACTTAATGTGCCACACATCAATCTCTACTGTGTCCGGGTCGAACAAGTCACATTTAAAATTACAAATACTTTTTTCATTACGAACTTGATCGGTACCTGGATCGTCTTGATGTCTTCTATGTCTACCTGATGTCGGCATTGTGTGAGTTCTAATTCCTCGTCGCCAATAACGTGTATTCACTTATACAATTAAAAAGTACAACTTAGTAAAACGAAACTTGACTTTAATCATGTAAAAACTAACTGACAACAAAAAGTAAACAACCTTGTTATTTTTATGTAACATATGGTAATAAATAATGTGAACTCTATACAGACCAAAAGCACGAACACTTCACCTTCGATAAGAGGATGAAAGATTATTTAAATATACATAGGTAAAATACTAGGATGTTTAAAGGATTTTTTAAATAATCTTTGTAATCTTCGGTTTGTTTTAGTGCAATATAATTTTCATTTAACTAACAGCTGGTTAAATATAAAAATCCTCTGTAGAACTATGAGGTTATTTTATTTACTCTGATTTGTCATTGATTTTTAGGAAATAAGTAAGATTAGTAGACCACCGAGAAAGGTAACACCATCGACGTATACAAGTCGAGGCTCTGTACACTAGTCTTAAAAAATGGATATGCAAATTATTATACTGCTAAACTTTTTTAGGAAAGGGTAGGAAAATCCAATTTTACACGTTTTAATTCGTCTTGGTTTGTTTACAATCAATGTTTTTGAATGATTAAACTTTGTTTGGATTAGGCCCGGAATTATTGATGTCATTAAGAAGGAGATCAAGAATCTTTAGGAATACAATTTTAAATTACCACCACAACCCAGACGGGTTTTATCCAAAGATATACAGATATGAATGACATAGATTGAGCACAACGTCATCATTGACCTAGGATACTGCAATTAGACTAACCATCCTTTTATGAAATCTAAAAAGTTGTTTGGCGTGTGTTTAGTTGTGGTTACGTTTGGAGGCGCTGAATATTTTATAGTTTAAATAAATGAATATGGGGAATCAGGGTGTACATTGATTCAATGAGGGTGGTTTAATTAATAAGGATATTAGAACTGATAACGGGATGGATAATAAACATAGACAATTAATTACGTCACTAGCTTTACTAGCATGTTTTACGTTTTAAATTCCTTTAACATGTGACCAGTTCTTTTGTTCAAATGAATATTATTTTATTTTTGACTCAGCTGTTTACCAAAACAAACTTAATGTTGTTGTTTTTACTTTTCTTTGTTTACACTTATTTATTTAGCAATTGATGCAGTGAAATTGATATAAAGGATATGTGTGGACGATTCTTTAATGATGTCAGGGCACCAACGTTATAATTATGTGTACTGTGAATTTTATTGGATGTTTTCGTTTTATTTTAGGGAGTTTATATTCAGACCTACTGGAAATTGTGTATGGTATGAGTAATTGTATTGTGTTGATATTGATTATGGCAGAGGCATATCAGGTATGCGATAGAAATGGAAGGTGATATCGTTGACTAGGTCTATATACTTTCTCAATTGATAATTACTCTTTGTACTGTAGGCTGCTATAAAATTTGTCTTTATACGTGTAAGCTAGCTGTTCTGATTTACAGTATACACAGTTTTAACTGACTACTCCCGTACGTAGGACGGGCTAACACCTCGTATTTATTTAATTATTTTGGAATAATTAATATTGGAATAATTTTATATTTATATATAAAGGGTGTCCCAATAAGAACGCCGGATTTGAAATGTTAACAAACCATATATTTTATCCCTAAATTTACAATATGAAACATGAATCTTAAAGCATAGTATCTCCGATTGGTAATTAAGTATTATGTCTTGTAAGTGCCAACCTGCTGAATACTGACAGGCCCGACATCTCTTGACAAAGTTTTCCATTACTTTTTCACACACTTCCTGTTAAATTCCATTAATGGCTCGAATCATTTCCTCCTTCAAGTCTTGGATTGTTTGAGGATTATTGGCGAAAACAAGCGACTTTAAATATTTCCAAAATAGAACTGAGCCAATTTATTCAAACTTATAAATCAATCTTCGGACAGATGGATCATTTGGTGCATTGTCCCGGCCGTAAATAGTGGGCAGCTTCCGTACTTACTTGTAGTGCACTATGACCACGCGTTGTTCCGTCGTGTAGCGATTCATGACTACAAATGGGACCTAATACTGATAACATCGCTGATAATTTGGGAATTCCTATTGAAATACAGATAAGGATAAGACGCTCCTCAAATCCGGCGTTCTTACTGGGACACCCTTTATTTATATTTTCACGATGGTAGGTAGTTAAAAATGCAATCAATATTGGGTTTGATCACAAACACATTCATTTATGATTGAATAAGACAGCTTGCCAGTTCTTGAGATTTTGTTGTCCAATTGCTCTTTTTTTGATTGACTTTAAGAAGGTGATCTCGAGCATATCCATATTTTTATTTTTAAAAGTTTTCTTAGTGTTAACAATAGAACTCTTTTTGTAAATGAAGTAGGAAACACTATTTACACTGAAGTTTCCAACAAATTGTTGCAAACTCAAGTCTTAAAAATTTCAATGTCATCGCTGATGTAAACGGGACTTTTTATCAATTGTATGTGCCACAGTCTATTATGGCTCGAGTCTATTACAGCTGGAACAACACGTAGCTTTGCCCAATTTCTGTAAATCATTCAATTTTTCATGGAATAAATGATATTTAATTTGATTTGGCACCGCCTCTGCGTAAATGTGGCATTACTTAAGTTAAACACATGTACACATTACTTAAGTTAAACACAATTGTATTTACTCAGAAAAAACAATACAGTAAATGTGTAACAAATAATTGTTTAAATAAGTAAATCACTGAACTCACAAAATAACAATCACACGTAAATTACTGTATTTTAAAACTGCAAATAGTAACCATTTTGATATTGTTATTCTTCATTTGCTGTTATGACCGTGCTAAATTTTGTACAGATCAAAGGCAGGGAGTGTAGTAAAAGTGCTTTGCTCTATTATGTCTAAAATTTATTGAAATGACAACTGTGATAACTGCTCTGAATACACTGATTTATAAAATAATGATCCTTTCAGGATGGAGGAACTGCACTATTTGTTGCCTGCCAGTACGGACATTATGACATGGTCCAGCTGTTAGCAAGACACAATGCAAACATCAACGCTTGTATGAAGGTACCTCTAATATGTACAATATGGAATGCACTATTTTTTTAAATATAAGTAAACCATGCTTGACATTTAAAATTTTCAGTTTTGGAAAGAACTTGTTTTCCATACCAGTTTTGCAAGTGTATTCCCTCTTACTAGAGTGTAGCTGTAGGCAAGACTTCTGTTCAGTTTGAAAGCTGAGTACGGTACCGTACTGCTTCAGCCCAAAGATATTTTGGAACTCAAAACATTCAAACACTCTGATTTTCCATTACTTTGTGTGGACCGTGTGCTGTACTTTGGCCATCGCTGAGCAAGATGTTTAATGTGGAGAAGTAATATACTCGTGCAGAATCATGAAACATACAAGGTGCAGCAAAAAAACCGATCTATTTTCATTTTCTGTAGCGCACTGTTTAGCGACAGGTCGTCTGAGGGTGGTAGGGGTAGGCTCGGGTAGGCTCGTTGGAAAGCCTATTCGATGCCATTTTCTGTAGTCATAGAGCGGTGGTCACTTGAGCAACGTGTGTTTATTATCGAGCCGAATTAAAAAGTAATGATTCAGTCATTGCAACTCAGCAGCATTCCTATGCAATGTTTAAATTAGGTCAACATGGAGAGGTTCCGTCACGATTGGGTTCCTTATGGATAATCAACGAAACTAAACAGATAAATACAAATTAATCAGGATAAGAATTAAGATCGAACCTCAAAATTTGTGTACCCGAGCGGTTAGAGCAGATGCTGGTTTTCGGGCGGGCCTACGAGGATTGTTTTCCACAGCAGCACAAACTCTATCGAATGTTAGTTGTCTGGCGTCCGATCTGCTTTGGACGGCTTGTCAGCTTCTTTTTTAATGCAGAAGCCATATTGTTCCAAAGTTGGTAACCCACCACATGATTGTTCTACTTGACGGAATCCACGTTGCTGTAATTAAAAGAATGCACGTTGAGTGCTTACTTAGAAACAATATCTTTTTAATTCGACTCAATAACAAACACACGTTGCTCAGGGGACCTCTGTTCTATGACTACAGATAATATCGTGTAGGCTTTCCAATGAGCCTAACCCCACAACTATCAGACGACCTATTGCTGAACAGTGCGCTGCATAAAATAGATCTGGTTTATTTGCCGCACCCTGTATAATATATATATATATATGCTGTTTTGGCAATATAACATAACAACACATAAACAATATAATAACTAGGCTCAATGCAGTGTAAGAGGTGGACTCTATTGTAGTACAGTCAAATATTTTGACAGTATCAATACCCAAAGTAACAAAAAAGATTGATCTTGAAAGGTCTCTTCTGCGAAATCTGATGAAAAAAAACATTTTTCCCACCCTGTCCTGTGGCCATTATTTCTTTTTGCCTACCTAGAGTACAGTCCACGAGAGTCTGCAGTTGAGGCAGGAGCCTCTTAGGCAGGAGCCTATACTTACCACATGGCTTTGAAGGAGCCAATGAGGACCGTGCGTTTGTTGCCAAATCTAATAATACCAGCTGATTTGAAAATATTGCTTATTTAGTATATTTTAATTAGTGTCAAAAATTAGTGAGCGGGCAATGTTGCAACTAGTCCAGTCTTGCTATTGGCTGCCGCCACCTGCAGACTCTCGTGGGCACGAGTATAGTGTTAAAATTTTCTCTTTTTATAGGACGGGGCAAGCCCCTTGTTTATTGCTGCCCAGAATGGACACGCGGACACGTGTCGTCTGCTGCTGACCCTAGGAGCCTCTATTGACCAGCGTAGGCTGGACGGAGCAACGCCGCTGTGGATAGCAGCACAGATGAACCATGGAGCTGTTGTGAGACTGCTACTGAAACATGGAGCGTTTGTGGACGCTGTTCGACATGTAAGTAAATCATGGACTATAAAAATAGAATTGAAACAATAAGTGAATTAGGAAGATGAGTGCTAGAGGTTTTGGCAGCACTAAACGGGAAAGGAAACAGATCAGACGCACTGAAAGAAAAGCAAACTTCGTGGACAAATTCTGGAGCTAAAGCTACACTACCATGGGCAAGTAGAACAGCCCATAGTGTAGTAGACATAGTAAAGTATACTACCAGAAAAACATTCTCTCAAATGCATAGAATGCACACGCAGGTAGTGCAAATAGGCAGGAAAGTTTCAGGTTGGATTCTTTCTGTGCTATCAACTGGTAGCTACTATGACTATAACAGCTAAAACTTACAAAGAGCTAACGCAGCTAACAGTGAAACAAATCACCACAGACAAAAATGTTAATTGAATGCTCTTATGAGTTTCTTTTGCAGATTTTGTGTCAATTGTGGTGTGTCGTTTCGCTGTGTGTTTTGTCTGATCTTATGGAGCTTAAGCAACCTAGTATTGAAGTCCTTAGGACCGGACGACACAAGCGTGTAAAACACCACTGACCGTCTGCTTCCTTTTTCAGTGCCATAGATAGCTTCATAATGTAAACTACACGAGTGTTTCGTTTGCCTTATGAAAACACAAAATTTGAGCGCTTGGGAATCGTACACCTCTGGATGCGTAAAATACGCACGCAGATCGTCGGTGCGCCGGACTACGGGTAGTGGCAAACTATAGCCTTTCTCCTGTGTGTTGGTACATCTTTCCCTCCCCTGGGTGAGGAATAATGTCAAAGATGATGCCAATAATTCAAACACAAACAACGACAAAGGTATTGCCGATGATCTGACACAACTTAAGGCTGGTACTTCCAAAACATGATTTCCATCTCTAGTTGCCAAGAAGAAGAAAATGCCTGCAATCCCAGCAAAGCAGTTAATATACAGTTATGTTAAATCATGACAGTTATGTTTAATTACAACATTAATTTTATCGTAGGGTCTGGAATTACAAGAGTAGCAATGGCAGAAGGAAGAACAAGCAGATAGCCATAAATAATTCTTGACATTGTTTGTTTCAATATTAGACAGACTGCCCCTCTGGGGCGATGCAGCCCAGGTCAGAAATGTCTCAAGCTGCAACTCAGATTGTTCAAACCACACAAACAAATACAGTTACAGATTATGTTACACCAACCCCATAATCTGATGATGAGCATTCTATCCGAAGAAACAAGTTCTTAATTTTTTCTCTATAAATACAGTCGGCGGCATTTTGTACGCTCATGAAGTCAATGCTTTGCCTTCAATCCGCTGCTGATTGTTGGCTTCATGTAGTTCTTGAAAACTTTGGTGCTTACTATCGGTGGGTTTTATACACTCGAGAAGTCCGGCCCTTACCAGTGTTCTTTCCTTCAGTTTATAATTGATAATGTGCAGTTTGGCTTACCACTTACCATTATTATTTTGTATTATTATTTTTCAGGATGGAGCTACTCCCTTGTTCAAGGCCTGCCACAAGGGACATGTTGATGTTGTTCAAGATTTGCTCAAGTACAACCCAAGTTTGGGAAAGCTACCTGTAAGCATCTTTGGTTGGTTAGATCACTAAATTAGTAGAATTATTTTTAAGATTTTTTTAAAAGCAAGTAGTCTATGATTATATTGTAAAGTGACTAGCAATAACATACAGAGAAACATAAATGAGGAAGTATTTTAATTACAGCAGGGAGTATATCATCCATGCAAGGGTAAATTTAAACTCTATATCCAGGGAGAGAAAGCCAATATACCAAAGGGAAGGCTACATTGATAAGGACTGCCAGACTCCTTTAGGCAGGTTTAATATTGGGTGGAATGGCGGCATGGTGAGATCACTACCACCTTGTGCAGTTCATGTCAGGGCACAGCTATTTTCAGTCCTACCTGCCTTTGATAGCCAAGTCAAATTCACACTGAAGTGTTTTTACTGCCTGGGCGTTCCTGACGACGCAGAACCAACATTCTTCTGCTGTCCGCGGTGGGATATGCTCAGTCGGGAGGCCACTCAACATATTTGTATGCTGTTGGTTGAATTGATTTGTGAGATCATGTGGTAGGGGAGGAGGAGGCCAACTGGCCAACTGGGAATGCTGGTCGCAAATCGTTCGGATTATCCTCAAAGTCTAAAAGAACTACCTAGATGTAATTGCAGTCTAGGTCATGTAATACATGAACAGCCAGACACAGAGTGAGTCTTTTGGGCATAGGAAATCTGAAACTAATTCTTATGAAGTGTGATATGGGCTCCCAGCGAGTGTCCTAAGAGTAGGAGAGGTTTTAGTGGGTCTTAACGGGTGTTAGAGCCCATGTAAAAATATAACCTGTATATAAACTTAAAGAAGAACCTGAAAAATTCACCATTGTATTATTATTTTCTTTTACTTAAATTTAAAACCTCTTTAACAGTTTTAATAAAATGCTCATCCTCAACCATATTTGTTCATATACATTTTTTATGAAAAGACCATTTTAGCTTGACATTTACTTCTAGGACAAAAGCTATTTAAGTTTAGGTTTTTGAAATTTTTCTCTTTCAGAATGGAGAGAGCGCTCTACATGCGGCAGCATTATTCGGCCATCTTGGGATCGTCAAGTTATTATTGCATGGTGGCGCAAACCTCAGACTTAAAAACCAAGATGGTAGAACACCATTTGACCTAGCAGCCAGTGGCAGGCACTGCCATGTGTTAGAATATCTGAAAATGCACTAGTTACCTGATGAAAATATGGGTACCACTTAGAAAGTACAGGTGCTGATAAAATATTTCCCAATCTATCTGTCTCTGATGGACCATTCTAGTAAGATAAAACTCCTTTTTGCTTTGAAAAAAGAAACCCAAATGTGTTCAAAATTCAAAGAAATATTGTGTCAAATCTTGCAGTGATAAAAAAGCTGATAAGAGGTTTTGTAGGTAACGTAAGGATTGAGTATAGTGATACAATTGTGACTAGTATTATATTTCAGTGACATGTTGTAGTTGACATGAAGTCTTTACTGCTGTATTTAACAGACAAAAGTTAAAAGCAATTATTGTATTTGTTATAAAGTGTATCAGTATTTAGATAATTTGTTATTTGAATTACTATTTTATCTTTAAAATAATTTTATATGTTAACAAATTCCTACTAAACCTCTCTCTTCTAGAATCCTCATCTACCTTTGCAATGTCAATTATAGGCAATTTAATTATTACCATTTAATAAAATCGACTGAATGAGTATTGTAACAGAAACCATTAAACATAATCCTTCTTCTTACTATGTGTAAGTTGTGGTGATGTAAATATTATCAGGTGATTTAACTCCAGATTGTAAGCCAATAGCCATACTTTTGGTTTACTAAGTCTTTCTTACAACAATTTGAAATGTGGTATAATTTGAAAACAATGTATAATTAAAACCTTCTGGATGAAAATGTTGATGGCAAGTGTTATTTTTGTGGGCATGATAGACACTCTAGAGATCGCTGTCCAGCCAGAGAAGCAACTTGTGGGAAATGTAACAAGACAGGGCATTATGCGAGAGTCTGTAAAAGTAATCCAACTCAACATTTTAAAGTAAAACAGAAGACGTCTAGTACATCAGCTGCACTAATAGCAACTACACATAATACATCTGTATTGAAGGACTCTACAGTTGAAGCTAAAGTGAATGGCCTGAAAGCAAATTGCTTAATAGACACCGGGAGTACATCAAGCTTTGTAAACTTGAAGTTTGTTCAGTTAAACAAAATTAAAATGTATAATGAAAGTGGACAAGTATCACTAGCTGCTTCTAATATGAAATCAAACGTCCACGGGTTTGTTAAAATCAACCTAAATCTGTTGAATCACAATTACAACAATTTTAAGTTGACTGTTCTTGGAGATCTTTGTACTGACGTGCTTATCGGACATGATATCATGAAACTCCACTCAAATATACAGGTTTGGTTTGGAGGTAAGAAACCTCCTCTGTTGGTGTGCTCCTGTGCCAAAGTTGAACCACCCAAACTATTCTGCAATTTAACTCCAGATTGTAAGCCAATAGCCACAAAATCACGACGTTACTCAGATGAAGATATGCAATTTATAAAACAAGAAATGGAAAGACTACAGACTGAGGAGATCATTGAACCTAGTTCGTCACCTTGGCGTGCACAAGTGTTGGTTGTTACAAACGACAAAGGGAAGAAGCGACTGTGTGTGGACTATTCGCAAACGATAAACAAATTTACTCTGTTAGACGCCTATCCCTTACCAAACATAGATGATCTAGTATCCACTGTAGCGACGAACAAGGTTTTTAGTGCCATTGATCTAAAGCAAGCATACTATCAAATACCAATTTCTGACGAAGAGAAGAAGTACACTGCTTTTGAGGCTGCTGGTCGTCTTTTTCAATTCAGAAGAATCCCATTTCGCGTAACCAACGGGGTGGCATGTTTTCAAAAGACCATGGACCAAATCATTAGAAAAGAAAAACTGAATGGAGTGTATGCCTATCTGGATGATTTGACCGTATGTGGAAAGGATCAAAAGGATCATGATGAGAATCTAAGAACATTTTTAGATGCTGTAACTAAGTATGGACTTGTAATCAACAACGAAAAGAGCAAGTTCAACCAGTCTTCAATAACCTTGTTGGGACATTTAGTTTCCCATAACTCTATTCGACCTGATCCAGATCGGCTAGAATCTCTACTGTCACTTCCTGTGCCCAAAGACCAAGTTTCACTAAAGCGAGTCCTAGGATTTTTCGCTCACTATTCAAAATGGATACATCGGTTTTCTGTAGTCATAGAGCGGTGGTCACTTGAGCAACGTGTGTTTATTATCGAGCCGAATTAAAAAGTAATGATTCAGTCATTGCAACTCAGCAGCATTCCTATGCAATGTTTAAATTAGGTCAACATGGAGAGGTTCCGTCACGATTGGGTTCCTTATGGATAATCAACGAAACTAAACAGATAAATACAAATTAATCAGGATAAGAATTAAGATCGAACCTCAAAATTTGTGTACCCGAGCGGTTAGAGCAGATGCTGGTTTTCGGGCGGGCCTACGAGGATTGTTTTCCACAGCAGCACAAACTCTATCGAATGTTAGTTGTCTGGCGTCCGATCTGCTTTGGACGGCTTGTCAGCTTCTTTTTTAATGCAGAAGCCATATTGTTCCAAAGTTGGTAACCCACCACATGATTGTTCTACTTGACGGAATCCACGTTGCTGTAATTAAAAGAATGCACGTTGAGTGCTTACTTAGAAACAATATCTTTTTAATTCGACTCAATAACAAACACACGTTGCTCAGGGGACCTCTGTTCTATGACTACAGATAATATCGTGTAGGCTTTCCAATGAGCCTAACCCCACAACTATCAGACGACCTATTGCTGAACAGTGCGCTGCATAAAATAGATCTGGTTTATTTGCCGCACCCTGTATAATATATATATATATATGCTGTTTTGGCAATATAACATAACAACACATAAACAATATAATAACTAGGCTCAATGCAGTGTAAGAGGTGGACTCTATTGTAGTACAGTCAAATATTTTGACAGTATCAATACCCAAAGTAACAAAAAAGATTGATCTTGAAAGGTCTCTTCTGCGAAATCTGATGAAAAAAAACATTTTTCCCACCCTGTCCTGTTACTCAGATGAAGATATGCAATTTATAAAACAAGAAATGGAAAGACTACAGACTGAGGAGATCATTGAACCTAGTTCGTCACCTTGGCGTGCACAAGTGTTGGTTGTTACAAACGACAAAGGGAAGAAGCGACTGTGTGTGGACTATTCGCAAACGATAAACAAATTTACTCTGTTAGACGCCTATCCCTTACCAAACATAGATGATCTAGTATCCACTGTAGCGACGAACAAGGTTTTTAGTGCCATTGATCTAAAGCAAGCATACTATCAAATACCAATTTCTGACGAAGAGAAGAAGTACACTGCTTTTGAGGCTGCTGGTCGTCTTTTTCAATTCAGAAGAATCCCATTTCGCGTAACCAACGGGGTGGCATGTTTTCAAAAGACCATGGACCAAATCATTAGAAAAGAAAAACTGAATGGAGTGTATGCCTATCTGGATGATTTGACCGTATGTGGAAAGGATCAAAAGGATCATGATGAGAATCTAAGAACATTTTTAGATGCTGTAACTAAGTATGGACTTGTAATCAACAACGAAAAGAGCAAGTTCAACCAGTCTTCAATAACCTTGTTGGGACATTTAGTTTCCCATAACTCTATTCGACCTGATCCAGATCGGCTAGAATCTCTACTGTCACTTCCTGTGCCCAAAGACCAAGTTTCACTAAAGCGAGTCCTAGGATTTTTCGCTCACTATTCAAAATGGATACATCGGTTTTCTGATAAAATAAGAAACCTGACACAAGTCAATTCTTTTCCTTTGTCACAGGAAGCGGTTGCAGATTTTGAAGCCCTCAAACTTGACATTGCAAACTCAGTAATTACTCCTAGGAATGGGCAAGAGCCACTGGTAGTGGAGACTGACGCATCTGACATAGCCGTGGCAGCAACTTTGAGTCAAGATAATCGGCCAATTGCTTTTTTCTCACGGACTCTAAACAAATCTGAGAAGCTGTATTCAGCTGTTGAAAAAGAAGCCGTTGCCATTGTCGAAGCCCTTCGAAAATGGAAATCATTTCTTATCGGAAGAGACTTCAGATTATACACGGATCAGCAAGCTTTATCATTTATCTTTGACAAGAGGCATACAAGCAAAATCAAGAACGATAAAGTTATGAGATGGCGACTAGAGCTAACACCTTATCAATATGAAATAGTGTACCGACCTGGTAGGGAGAATGTAAAAGCAGATACGCTCTCTCGGGCATGTGCGGTTCGCTGGGACAATGCTAAGTTGTTTGAATTACACAAATCTCTCTGCCATCCGGGAGTCACTCGAATGTTTCATTGGATTAAAACTAAAAATCTAAACTACACTCTGGATGATGTAAAAAGGATGACGTCAGCTTGTCAAACATGTGCAGAAGTGAAGCCAAGATTTCACCAATTCCAAGGCAAATTGATAAAGGCAACCACTCCCTTCGAACGTCTAAATATTGACTTTAAGGGCCCTCTTCCATCAACAACCAGAAACCGTTACCTTTTAACCATGGTGGACGAGTATTCTCGTTTTGTATTTGCTTACCCCTGTAAGGACATTAGTTCAGCGACAGTTATCAGATGTTTTTCAGATCTATTTTTTATGTTTGGAGCCCCGTCCTTTGTACATTCAGATAGAGGTTCATCTTTCATGTCGCGAGAGCTGACAGACTTTCTTCACAAGTACGGAGTAGCTACAAGTCATACGACACCTTATAACCCTAGAGGGAACTCTCAGATTGAACGCTTCAATGGAACAATATGGCGAACCATCCTACTAGCTTTGAAAAACCACAACCTGCCAGTTGCTGCATGGAAGAAGTATTACAGGAGGCACTTCACTCAGTCAGATCTCTTTTATGCACTGCGACAAACTGCACACCGCACGAAAGATTCTTTATACATAGCAGAAGATCTACCAATGGAGACTCCTTACCATCTTGGCTATCCGCTCCTGGTCCTGTCCTGCTTAGAAAGTTTGTAAGATCTAATAAATATGATGACCTTGTGGAGCCAGTTCAACTTTTGGAATCAAATCCACAGTACGCTCTCGTCAGAAGAAGAGATGGGTCAGAATCACAAGTATCCCTGAGACATCTTGCACCCGCTGGCCTACCTCCTGGTGATCTACCTCATGAAGACAACACTACTGAGAGAGAGATTGTTGAAAATATAAATTCAGACATTGACCACAATGAAGTTCAAAATGAAACTCAACAAACGGTATCTCAGACCCCAACTTCAGAGACGGCTGTGGGGGAACTACGTCCAAAGAGGAATGTCAAGCCTCCGTCATATCTAAAGGATTACATATGCTATACCTACCTTGAAAACTAGTGGGGGAGAATGTGGTGATGTGAACATTATCACCTGATAATATTTATTATTTGATTTGTTTGTAAATATTTTATTTGTTCTTAACTAAAACATGGTTGTAATTTTGAATGAATAAAAGCCATACTTTTGGTTTACTAAGTCTTTCTTACAACATAAGTGTTTTTCTGTTGAATGGAAACGTAGACAAGTAGAATAAATATAGACCGTCAGCTGTGCTGCGGTTAGCATAAGTTCTGGCTTCCAGCGTTAGGTTTGGCTTGTGGTTACGGCGCACACCGCTGCAGTGTCTGCTGGTCGCTATGGCTCCTGCGCTCCTCGCCTGCTGTGGTGTGCGCCGTAACTACACGGCAC